CAAAAAAAAAAAAAAAAAAAAAAAAAAAAACTAACCTTACCTAACGCGCTTCGTTTTTGGAACCTCACCGCTAAAAAAAAAAAAAAAAAAAAAAAAAAAAAAAAAAAAAAAAAAACTAACCTACCTAACGCGCTTCATTTTCGGAATCTCACCGCTAAAAAACAAACAAACAAACAACAAAAAAATTGGTTCTTTGGAGCACTAATCCCCAGCGACTGCCTCCATGCGCAACCTACCCTGCACAAGAGTGGAAATTAGGTCAGGGCGATCCGACGTGTCACTGCTTGGCATTCGGGCTCCTAATGAAAGATACGTTTTCCCTTGATGTCAAGTGATGTAACGTGCAAGGCGAAAGAGATTGTGACATAGCGAAAGGAAGAAGTAAATAGATTAATTTTCAAAAATGTGATTGACAAAAAAAATCGTTTGACATGACTAAAACTGTGATAGTATGAATTTCATTTTTTTTTTTTTTTTCATTTCAAAGAAGTTTCTTACAATTTACTAGCATCATCATGTCGAATAAAATAATATTAATAAGAATAATAACCACAATAATAATTAATATCACGTTATATATTTTTTTCTTCCTAGCACGACATAAGAAAGAATTTCAGATGTAATTTTCTAATCAACGTACAAACGATTATCATTCAATAGATAAAATTAAGCCCCTTGGGTGTATCCCTTACTTGATCGTATAATAATCAAACGCGTTTATATCAGAATGGATCAAATTTATCTTTATCCGGAACACGCGTTCACAATCGGAAATATGAAACACTTTTTTATGAATCCACAATCTAAATCTACTTTGGTCTTCTTCACATTCATAATCATTTTAATATTCCTTAGTCAGGTAAGAACACTTTAAATCTATATCTTCGTTGATCTCATAATCATATTCTTAATTATTTCCTGCGTTCTTTTCATTTTGGAAAACTAAACTAAATCAGTTACTTGCTTAAACGTCTATTTCGTGTTAAAATCGTAACTATAATAAATTTTAAAATATCTGGTCATACGTTTAACGATATGCATACTTTTTATCTTCATTATATCGATAAAAAAAATTACTATGCATCTTAAAATATATTTCTTAGCTAAAATCATGAACATCCCTTATACGAAAAAAAAACAAAAAAACAGCATTTTCTTTTTTTCATTATCGAAAAATTATATAATACGAGCAAAAATACACACTAGCAACCACAGCAACAAAAAAGATATATATAATCTTTTCAAGAGAGAAAAAATAAATAAAACTAGCATCTTACTACCTTAGGTTCCACGACCGCAATCTCACCTTCAAGAAAACAAAGCCATCAGTCACAAAAAAAAGAAAAAAAAAAAGAAAAAAAATACAACAAAATTCAAAAATTCAGGACACACCAAGCAGGGCACATAGCTTTAAAAGGCTCACAAGGCTACACAAATATAAACCAAATAAAAAATAAAATAAAATAAAGTTATACAAACAGATATACACATATATATAAAGGCGAAACAATATGACCAAAAATGTGTATATTAATGCCATGGAGATAGAACATTATGGAAAGAAAAATATACACATTGTTTGGTTGCACCTCGTAGGGGGAGGGACAATAAACAAGGAAGAGGAGGAGGAGGAGGAGAACAAGGAGAAGGAAAAGAAGAAGAGAAAATGATTATAATAATAATAGTAATACCTCCAACTAATCAAATCAATCAAGCAATGAGAGAAACAATTCAACAACAACAAAAATCAAAGTCAGTTTCAAGTCCACCCACATTCGTAAGACAAAAAAAAAGAAAAAAAGAAAGGCTAATGTAAGAAGTTTTAATCAAACGAATACAGAGTGAGATACAAAGAGATAATCATAAAAAAAAATCACAATCAACCGGAAACTCAAACCTCAAAAAAAAAAAAAAAAAAAAAAAAAAAAAGACAGAGAGAAAATCCAAGCAAAGACCCCCCCACTCTCAAAAAAAAATTCTGAAGAGGGGTAAATCGTTCTATTTTTTTTATTATTCTCGTATATACAATACTGGCAAACCGAGGTGGGTTAGCCAATGGGGCTCTACTCTAATTGGAAAGAAAATCCTACCAAACATCAGTATTCACCAAGCCAAGAAAAAAAAAACAGTAAAGCACACATTGGCAGAAACCAAAAAAAAAAAGTAAAAAATAAATAAAAATAATAAAAAAATATATGAAAAAATACAAAATAAATAAATAAAAAAAACAACAACTTTCTCCAAACTTCACGTCACTAACCCCATTTTCTTTGCATGGGCAACCGAGGTACTTACAAAAAAAACCGTTTTCTATGACGTACTTACTTACACGTGTCTACAACGAGTGAGACTTCCGAGCTCATTTTAGCCCCGGCGAGTGAGCTTAAACGCTTCAAGCTTTTTGTTGGAGATGTGGTTGGTGGTTGGTGGTGGTTGGTGGTGGTGGAGGAGGTGGTGGTAGTTGGTGGTACGGTTGTGGTGGTAGTGGACCAGCCGACGACTAGAAGGTAATAAGTAGGTTACTCTTTTGTTTCACGGACGAGAGACACATGGTCAAATAACAAAATGAAGAGAGAGAGAGAGAGAGAGAGAGAGAGAGAGAGAGAGAGAGAGAGAGAGAGAGAGAGAGAGAGAGAGAGAGAGAGAGAGAGAGAGAGAGAGAGAGAAAGAAGAAAGCCTGGGAAGGGGAGGGGGAAGAGAAAATGGAAGAAAAGAAGATATGAAAGGCAAGAAATGAGAGAACAGAAGAAGAATGAGGCACTGGCTGGCAGAATTCTTAAAACAGCACTCGAAGGACAGCTGTGGTGAAGACATCCATATAAGGGCTCTGCTTCGAAAGCTTATTGGCTGGAGCCTCATCTCAGCGAAGACTCTGATTGGCTGGTGGTAAAATTGACACACACACACACACACACACACACACACACACACACACACACACACACACACACACCACACACACACACACACACACCACACACACCACACACTTGCTGTTTCGGAATTCTGCTTCCTCTTAATCACTCAGGAGCCAAAGAAAACATATTTTAAATACGTCAGTTATGTCAATTTGTATTGAGAGAGAGAAAAATAAAACAAAATATAAATTACCAGCAAAAGAAGATGAAATAAAATGTTGAATCACAAATGTAGTTATATCCATGATATAGCATTCTTGACAAATTATATAAGAGGCAAAAAAAAAGAAGAAAAAAAAGAAAATTAGAATTTAAGAATATCCACAACAATTCTTCTTTATAGATAACCACACATGCAAACAAACAAAAAACAAACAAATGAAAAAACAGGTGGTAAGAAAAAAGAGGCAAAAAAGCGTTAATGAAAAAGACAATCCATGCTTTAAAAGCCCTGGTCCTCCTTTTTTTAGTTTTTTATTGCAATGTGTAATGAGGTTTGCAATAAACACGCTTGATATATTGCTTTTTTTTTTTTTTTTACTTAATTTATCTTCCTTTCTCTGTTGCTTTGTCTTTCTTGTTGTTAGTTCAAAATCTTCTTTTTTTATATTTATATCTTGCTCTCTTTTTCTTTTTCTCTTTCATTTTCTTTTTTTTTCTTTCTCCCTCTCCTTCTTTATTTCCTCAAGTTTCTCTCTTTCTTTCTCTCTGTCACTCTCTCTCTCTCTCTCTCTCTCTCTCTCTCTCTCTCTCTCTCTCTCTCTCTCTCTCTCTTCTCTCTCTCTCTCTCTCTCTCTCTCTCTCTCTCCATCTTTTTTTTTCTCTCTCTCACTCCCTCTTTCTCTCTCTCTCTCTCTCTTTCTCTCTCTCTCTCCTCTCTCTCCTCTCTCTCCTCTCTCTCTCTCTCTCTCTCTTTCTCTCTCTCTCTCTTCTCTCACTCCTCTCTTCTCTCTCACTCTCTTTCTCTGTCTCTCTCTCACTCCTCTTTCTCTTCCTCTCTCTTCCCTCCCTCTTTCTCTCTCTCATCCCTCTTTTCCTCCTCGCTCTCTCTCTCTCTCTCTCCTCCTCTCCTCTTCTCTCTCTCTCTTCTGTCCCTCTTCTCTCTGTCTCCTTCTCTCCTCTCCCTCTCTTCTCTCTCCTCTCTTCCTCTCTTCTCTCTCTCTCCCTCTCTCTCTCTCTCGTCTCTCTTCTCTCATCTCTCTCTCTCTCTCTCTCATCTCTCCTCTCTCTCTTTCACTTACTCTAACTCTTAACTCTTTTCCTATCTCTAATTCTCTCTTTCCCTCCCCTTCCTCCTTCGTCGTGTCTCCTCACTCTTGCGAATCACGCTATTAAGTATGCAGTATCACGCTCCCATTTCTCTTCACGCCCGTCCTTCGCCCACACCGCCGCCCCACATCTCCTTCCCTTTCCCCTCTCTCTTCTTTTTCTCTCCCTTCCTTCCCTTTCTCCTCGTTCCCTCTCGCTCCTGCTCCTGCGTTTCCCCTTGTTTTCGTTTTTGTTTTGTTTTTTGTTTTGTTTTCTTCTTTTATTTCACCCCTTTTTCTTTCGTCGGTTTTGCTTTCCTCTCTTCATTCCTATTTCCCCGTGTGTCTTCCTTTTCGTCTCCCCTTTCGTCAATCAATCTCCCTTTTTTTTTCTTTCTTTCCTTCCTCCCTTCCCTCCCTCCCTCCTCTCTCCTTCCTCGATCCTCCCCTCTTCTCCCTTTCTTTCTACCCCACCATCTTCCCCCTCTATCCCTCCCTCCCTCCCTCCCTTCCATCCTCTCCTTCCCTTCTCCCTTTCTCCCTCCCTCCCTTCTTTTCCACCAATTTCACCCTTCCTTCCTTCCTCCCTCTCCCTCCTCCTCCCTCCTCCCTCCCTGCCACCCATCCCCTCCCTCCTCCCACCCATCCTCCCTCCCATCCCCTCCCTCCATCGCCTCAATCCCCCGCCTCACACATACCCCAAAGCAGCACGATAACCCTCCTATCTCACCCGCAAACACGCCCTCCTTCCCCGCCCCATGCTTTTTTTTTTCCTCATGCTCTCTCCCTTTTTTTTTAATCCTTCACTCTCCATCAAATCCCTCGTTATTCCCGGTCGTTATCAATTATCTATCTACCCCTCCTCCCTCCGTATCGTTATCATTTATCCCTCTCCCTCTCTTCATCGCTTCGTCTTATTTTATCAGTCCTTGTCTCTCATTTTCGGCGTTTAATATATCTACTCTGGGCGATCGCTGGGAAAATCTGAGTGACAAGTGTGATTTTTTATTTGCTTGCTTGTTTGTACACACTCAAGGAACTCTAGCGCGTCTGTGGGCTATGTGACACTGTGTGTATGTGTGTGTGTGTGTGTGTGTGTGTGTGTGTGTGTGTGTGTGTGTGTGTGTGTGTGTGTGTGTGTGTGTGTGTGTCTGTGCGTTCGCGCATGCGCTGCGCGCCGAGTGTGCGTGTGCGTGTGCGTGAGAGATGAGAGAGAGAGAGAGAGATGAGAGAGAGAGAGAGAGGATGAAGAGAGATGAGAGAGAGAGAGAAGAGTAGAGAGAGGAGAGAGAGGACGGAGAGAGTAGAGATGTGATAGAGAGAGAGAGAGAGAGGATGTGTTAGGTCCCAGCTGCGTTATATTGGAAGATCTGCCAGATAGCACGAAGGTAAGGGAGAGCAGGAGATGAGAGAGAGAAGCGAGAGAGAGGATTGAGAGGAGAAGGGAGAGAGAGACGAAGGAGAGAGACGCGAGAGAAGAGAGAGAGAGAGAGAGAGAGAGAGAGAGAGAAGAGCGAGAGAGAGAGAGAGAGCGTGTGCAGAGAGAGATTGAGCCCGAGAGAGAGTAGGAGACAGAGAGATGAGGAGAAAGAGAGCTACAGAAGAGTAAGAGAGGAGAGGAGGGGTAGAGAGAGGAGAAGAGAGAGAGGAGAGAGAGGAGAGAGAGGAGAGAGGAGAGAGAGGAGAGGGAGGAGGGAGAGAGAAGAAGGAGAGAAGGAAGAGAGAGAGTATAAAGGGAGTAGGAGGAAGTAATGGTTAGGGAAGATATTGCAAAGAGCACGAAGGAAGCAGAGAGGGGGGTGGGTGAAGGAAGGGGTAGGAGAAGGGGAAGAGTGCGAGAAAGGGAGAGGGAGAGGGAAAGGGGAAGGGAGAGAGAAAGGGTAAAAGAGAATAGAGAAAAGGAAGGGTAGAGAGGGGGAACCAGGCGTGACCAAATACACCAATCTCAACTTTCCATAAAGCATAAAAGACCTTCCCATTTTATTTTTTAAACAATCAAATCCAGCGAAAAAAAATCTTTACCACTCGGTATAATAACGTGTTCCGTGATCCTAGAGCGATATCTCTTGCACTGATCTTCCAGCAGCAGACCAGACACGAACGCACGCACGACGACAACACACGCACATACACACACACAGCGAGAACTACGCTTGGGTGTAAATACGGAAATCGAAATAAAGTTTCTTAAAAATCAGCAAATCGAAATAAAATCCTTCAAAATCTGGCCGACAGAGCTGGCTTTCGATTCGCCAAAGCAAGATGGCGTCGCGGCTCCTCAGCTGATCTCCCCCGCTGAATCTCGGCCATTGTTGCGCCGTCTCCACACCCAGAAATCGCAAATAAAGACAAAGAGAAAACGGCGTAGTTAAAGCTTTCCTTATTTCCTCAATTCCTTCGTTCTCCGCTCCCCTCCCCCCTGCCTCCCCCCCCCTCCAGCTCCCCCCGAGAACCCAACAAGATGGCGACGAAATCCAACATGGCGGCGGCCGGTGAGGATCGCTTAGTCAGAGAGACCTTTCACGTCAGGCGCGCTCTTCCCCCTCCTTCCCTTCCCTCCCCCTCCTCTCTCTCCCTTCCCTCTCTCTCCTCTCGCTGGCTGTCTCCTTTCCTCTTTCTCTGCTCGCTGCTGCTTTCTCCCGGTTTTGTTCGCATTTTTCGGATCTCTCTCTTCTCTCTCTCCTCTCATCTCTCTCTCTCTCTCTCTCTCTCTCTCTCTCTCTCTCTCTCTCTCTTCTCTCTCTCTCTCTCTTATCTCTCTCTCTCTCTCTTTATCTCTTCTCTCTCTCTCTTATCTCTCTCTCTTATCTCTCTCTCTCTCTCTCTCTCTTCTATCTCTCTCTATCTTTCTCTCTCATCTATCTCTATCTATCTATCTTCTCCTCTTCTCCTCTTTCTCTCTCCTCTTCTCTCGTCTGTCCGTCTCCCTCTCTCGAACTTCCTCATTGCTTCATTTATAAATATCTAATCTCGCCTCCCCCCCCCCCATGCCACAAAATAAAAATACTTAAGTCTCCAGCAAAAGATTCTCAGACCGAAGACCAAACGCCTGAGACCTGAGACCAAGAGGAGGGGGGGAGGGGGGAGGGGGGAGGGGGATGCAGGCCGACGGCAGGTGTGGTCGAGGTCATGCCCAATCGTCATGCTCTTTCGCTCTTTCTCTCATGCTCTATCTCGCTCTTTCTCTCTTGCTGTATCTCGTTGCTTTCTCTTCTCTTTCGTCTTTCTCTTTGCTCTTGCTCTACTCGCTCTCGTCTCTCTCTTTCGACTCCTCTCTCTCTCCCTCTCTCTCTCTCCTCTCTTCGTCTCTCTCTCTCTTCCTCTCTCTCTCTTCT